AATTAGGCAATGCCAAAAACTCTTCCCCCCCCCCCCCAAAGAGAATGTTTTTATTGTTACAGAGAATAAATGAAAGTACCTTGAGAGCAATCCATGCTGGAGGGTTTCTCGCAGCTTCCCTTGTACTTTTTTATTACTTTGAGGACGGGAAGCGCAGGTCAGATGCTGGGAGCTCAGCCTCCAGAATGCCACACAGCCCTCACTTGTATATTTTTTTGAGGGCAGGCAGGAGCTGACAGGGAAGCTGGATTTTTCATGTCCCCTTCTGTTGTCTCCACAGAAGAAAAGTAGTTACGCGATAGCAAGTGTGGGGCTTGGTGTCTGTCTACTTTCTTATCTATAAAGTGAAAGCAGTGTTTGGTTGCGATGTTTTGGGAATTAATAAATTAATGTTTGCAAGATGTTCAAACGTAGAGACCCTATTTTATCACTTACTGATTACCGTGATAAAAGCAAAAATTGCTCAGTGGTATTGTCCAAAAGTTTTCTGTGTTACCACACATGAAACACACGGTATTTCCTAAAATGTTGTTCCTTGCAGCTTCTCGAGGTGTATAAGCGTAGGCTTCTGCATAGAAGTGCTGTGGTCCGGGGGGGCTGGCATCTCTCTGCATCCTCTGAGTATGACAGCAGAGCTTTGGTGGTAGCTTGGTGGGAACTAGGTGTGAAGCTACTGCAAGATCTCTATTGTGATGTTGAGATACAGGGGAAAAAATGCCTAACTCTTCCTAGCCTTCTGGAGTTCACTTTGTTAGGTAGGATTTGAATGCAGTCTCTATATAGCAGCTGTAGTCACTAACAGTCAGACTTGTTGTGCAGAAGACCCTACCTGGTCAAAATTCATTTTATCCCATGCGATTTAATGCCGTTGTACCATCTCTCTGAAGGGCAGGATTTGCCCCACAGGCAGCGACCAGAGCTGCCTGTCATTTCTGACACGCAGAGGATGTCGCGAGTGACCATTTTTTGGATTCCAGCTGAGGTTTCCAGTTACAGTTTTTATATTTGACTGCTTTTGTGGCTGGAAACTTTTGCCAGCTGTCGACTTAAGAGCAAGTGGTAATCTGCCTTCTCAAGCAAATGTGGCCTCCATGTTTATTTTCGGTTTCATGTTTGTTATACTTATTGTAGGTTAGAAATCCTGGCATAACATCCTTGACCCTTTAGTAAGATATGTAGTGATCCTCTTTTGTGGTTAGAGTATTAAATAACTTGCTTCGTGCAAGTACAAATAACAGAAAGTCCTGACCCACGTAATACTCGATCAATTTAGGACCTTAGTAACCGAGGAGGTTTCATGTTGTGGTTTTCACATAATGAGCAGAGGGACTTGTTATGTGATACAAAGACTGAGTGCAATAAAGGGGTGGCGGGAGATGAAAGTAAACAGTTACTACAATGCATTTTCTTTTTGTGTCTCTCTTGTTTGTTTGTTTGTTCTTGAACAGATTGAAAACATAGATGCATGCCTGAGTTTCTTGGCTGCTAAGGGAATTAACATACAGGGGCTGTCAGCAGAAGGTGAGTCAATCGGTTGTTTAAAATTTCATTTTAAATGAGGAACCTGAATTACTGCTTGTGATTGCAACCAGCACATGGAGTGTAATGGAAGATGACTATGGATAATTAAACTTTTGACAGTCTTTACTCCTTTTTTCCCCGCCTCAGTATGAAAGGTAGGTAAAAATATATATCTAATCTCCACACAGCTGACTCGCAAAAATAATCAATGAGACCAAATTAGAATTCAGTCACTTTGTTTTGTTCTGTTAAAAAAACAGAAATTTCTCATCTAAGTTCTATAATTGGCACATTGATCAGAGTGTAGATTTTACAGATATTTAAAGTGAACTGCTGGTGGTTGTTTGCCTTTTGAGAGACATTTATTTCCTCATTTTTCAGTTATTCTCTTACCTGAAGAAGTATCTGGCTTGCTTTTCTTTTTTAAAGAAAGATTTTTTTTTTAAAGTTTGTTTCCAAATGCACAAAACAATAAAATCCAAATGTTTTGAACCAAAACAAAAAAGAAAAAGACATTCTGACCTTGAATTAATCACTCTGCTTTTGAAGAGCACCAGAATTTTTCTGAAACCCAAACATGACTCAGCGTACTATATTCCTTTATGCCAGTACATGATATATGTCAGAATGTATGGTCTCTTTGGGCTCAGAAGCCGTTTAACTACTGTCTTGTTAAGAGATCAAACAGATTTCTGTCGTCCTCAGCACCAGCTTTCACTTATACTTTCATTTAAATACGCTGGGAAAGCAATTGGGTTCGGTAGCTGCTAAAGCAAACTTTGAATATATTATACGACATCTCCTTCAGAGCTTCACAGAACAAATAATTGGATGTGTGGCGTCAGGTGAAACCTTCAGTTAGATTTGGTGACTCTTTGCAAACTTAGTTTTGAGGAGGGGGTTATATCATCAAATCATGCCCGTACGTTTACTTGCGTGTGAATAATTGCCTGTATGTTTAAAGCTGTGTTTTCTTCCTCTGAAGGAATCCTATAGCTCGAAGAAGGAGGGCAAGCAAGGCTGTGTAGGTGTGGTGGGCTGACCCCGGCCGGGAGCTAAGCACTGGAGAGAATAGGAAGAGCAGAAGTGAGAAAATGCATGGGTCAGGATAAGGATGGTTTAATGAGAGAAGGAAAGAGGAAGAGAAAAACAGAACAAGCGATGCAAAGGCAATCACTCGCCACCTCCCACAAGTAGACAGATGCCCAGCCAGTTTCCAAGCAACCCCTACCTCCCCAACACCCTCCCGCCACCCACCTCAGTTTTCATTACTGAGCATGACGTCATACGGCATGGGATAACCCTTTGGTCAGTTGGGGTCAGCTGTCCAGGTTGTGTCCCCTCCCAGCCCCTTGCCCACCCCCAGCCTGCTCGCTGCGGGAGGGCAGGGTGGGGAAAAGAGAAAGCCTTGACACTGTGCAAGTATTGCTCAGCAATAGCCAAAGCACTGGCGCCTTACCAACACTGTTTTAGTCACAAATCCAAAACCCAGCACCGCGCGCTCTCTGATCATGATTTGAAATCTTAGCTGAAACACGCTTTCCCTTATTGATGGTAAATGATGTTTATGAAATGCATTCCAGACAGCCACTGTGGATGAACTTTATGGTGAAACCATTGTGTACACAAGTTTTATTTCTGTACGTTACATTAAAAAAATACTACAAAATTATAAAAACTTTCATAAAATTACTATAAAATTAAAGCTATTACTTTTTAAAACTGTTATTAAAAATTACAGTTTACAATTATGTTTTGACAATTTGGAAAATAGCTTAAAGAATTCCTTGCTGTCCTCAAAAGATAGCCCCCTACCTCACCCTAGTCTATGAGATCTTACAAACCACTTGAAAATGTTTATTTTTAATGTAATTTCACTAAGTTTGAGGTGGTTTGTAAGCGGGGAAGGCAAAGTAGCAGATATTTAGTACACGTTGTTCTAACCTGCTGTTACCAGAACTAATAGGAGAAGAGGGGGCTGAAGGTTAGCTGTCTTCTTCTGTGGTGTGTCCTTAAGCTGGGTTAGAACACCAATAACAAATATTTTCCTCCAAAGAGAAGCTTTAATATTGTCAGCCCAAGTACTGCCTGCATTATATGCCTTGATAGCTCAGTTATAATCAGAAAGATTCTCATGTCAAGAAAAGAAAGTATGAGCTAAAACTTCTAAAAAAAGCTTGTTTACCAGGAAATGGTTACAAAGTAAATGCAACCGAGTCCCTGGTAAAAGCCAATTTCCACCTTGATGTGATACATAAATATTGTAAAAATGTAATAAACTTCACATTATTTACCTGTCATGATACAATGCAAAATCTAAGAAAAATAGCAGATTAGTTGATGGGAAGACTGTCTCTGTCTGCAAAGTTGGCAGCGTAGTGTTGTTCACGCCGGGGAAGGGACAACATGAGTAATGTTCATTGCTCTCCCGCCAAAACAACACGACTCAGCAGGATATAGGTTATCCCGTGGCTTCTGCCGATTTTGTATTTCTTCCTTTCTTTTATACTGTCTAGGAATTAACATATTAAATCATACAGAAGCTAAGAAGAGACCAGTAATGTTGGCTGCCAACATAGGAATGAGAACATTTACTGGCTCCACCACTAACATGGAAGGAAAAGTGACAGCTAGAGAGGGGGAGGGAAGGAACATTTTTTGTAAAATGACGTTAAAAGACCTGAATTCAACAATAAATTCAATTTCTGTCCTTAGTCACTCCTTAACTAGGCTGAGAAAGGAGGCTGAACAAGAGAGAACACGGAATCACTTAAAATTGACCGTAACCAAACAAGCCAGTGTTTCTGCGCAAGTTGCCAAGACCTGTTAGGTCAACTGCAAATAACTTTGTTTACTTCACTGGCAGATCCCCATCTAGGAGGAAGGAGAAGATTGTGATTGCTTCCAAATGGGAATAAACATTGAAGTCTCTCCTGGGTTGCTTGAGAACACATATTTTTCAACAGTGCAGTTTTAGTGTGGAGGGAAGTTAATGATTCAAAACTGGAATTTGGATGACTCCTAAATGTTGAAATAATTTGGGACCTCATGTAGCATATCCTTCCAGTATTAAAAAATCCAGCTTTGATAGGTGCATGCCACTTAGACATAGTCTTTTTTTATGGATTTATACAGTGAAGATGCTAAGGATCTGCAATCACTGATGATGATCGTACTATGCTAGACAGGCCCCTCCTTCCCCAGCAATGTGGAGCCCTTCTCAAAGATTCTTAAATCCTAAAATCTCCATTTGTAGTTACTAAAGAAAACTATGGGGGATGCTGGAAAATTCTTTTATCTTCTTGCTGCAATTTTTTATTGTCCATCGCTTTGAGCTGTCTCTCCATACCCGCGCCCTTAAACTTGTTTCCACGCTGAGCTGGGTTTTAGACTCCTGGAACTGCAGCTGCCCAGCTAAGCTTGCCCTCCTTCGCACAATATCTCCTCGCTGCCAAGATTTTTAAGATTATGGAGAACGTAAATGTGCAGTAAAAACTCAAATTGATGTCATAGATTGCAGCTGCACCTCTTCTGGCTGACAGATTGGCTGGGTAATGATCAGCTGAGCAAATCATGAAACTATAAAGCAATGAAAGAAAATGTCTCACTAGACTTTGGAACAACCACGATTCAGCTTGGGCTTTTGCCTCTAAAATGACATTCATGCTTCTGTAGGTACATAAATTTCAGTGTGCACACTCTGCAGTACTGCAATTCATCCATTTTAGGTCCTTTCCAGTGTCAAGGTGGAATTTTTGTTTCCGCAGCACAAATATCCCCCAGTGCTTTTTTAAGCATACCTGAGTAGGACACTTACCATGCTGCCAAATTTTGATGATGCCACACTGAGTACAGTTATGTACAGTCTTCCAAAAAATTACTCTTTAATTATCAAAAAATGCTTGCAGATCTAGCGTGTGTGGTGGGAATTAATTCCTTCTGGCATTTCCCTTCATCATTTCCCATCATCCCAGAGCTGTTTAGGTAGCTTTGGATCTCTAAAGTCAGCTTAGAGGCCAGCCAGCCTAGAGCATGTGCTGACTGAGGTTGAGTCTGTCTGTCTGTACTTCGTGATGTGTCCTGGATCAACTTGTGAAGTATATCTGCTTCTCGACATTTTGTCTTAAATTCAGACCTGCGTGTAGTTACTTTGGCCTTTTCTCTCCTCTCCCATCATTCACTGTGGACAGAATTTCCTGATTTTTTTCATTTTGTTCTGTTCAGCAGACCATCTTGTCTCACCTCTTAAGTGAGCTAAGAAGGGTTGATGGGGACTGCATGCAGAATCCCTCAGTGGTCAACCATAAGAGGCTAGTGCAAAGCGACAGAAGCAGACACCCACTGTCTCCAGGGGTGAATAGTATGTATATATGTGTCGTGGTTTAACCTCAGTCGGCAACTGAGCACCACACAGCAGCTCGCTCACTCCTCCCGCAACCCCGGTGGGAGGGGGGAGAGAATTAGAAGAGCAGAAGTGAGAAAAACTCGTGGGTTGAGATAAAAACAGTTTAATAATTGAAATAAAATAATAATAACAATAGTAACAATAATAATGATAATATACAAAGCAAGTGATGCACAGTGCAATTGCTCACTAACCACTGACCGATGCCCAGCCAGTCCCTGAGCAGCGGCCCCCCCCCGGCCAGCTTTCCCCAGTTTATGTACTGAGCATGATGTCCCATGGTGTGGAATGTCCCTTTGGCCAGTTGGGGTCAGCTGTCCTGGCTGTGCCCCCTCCCAGCTTCTCGTGCCCCTCCAGCCTTCTCAGTCGGTAGAGCATGGGAAGCTGAAAAGTCCTTGACTAGTGTAAGCACTGCTCAGCAACAACTAAACCATCAGTGTGTTATCAACATTGTTCTCACCCTAAATCCAAAACACAGCACTGTGCCAGCTACTAGGAAGGAAATTAACTCTACCCCTGCCGAAACCAGGACAATATGACAGCCCTATTTTCTGGGAGGATAGGTGCAAGCTAAGGAATGTGCAGTGATTCTTTATTTGTACTCCTGCTAGTCACTTTGGCTAACCGGTCTACTCCATGTAAACTAGTTCTGTTTTTTCTAGTCCCATGTGCTTTACAGAATCAGCTACAAAATAAGCTTTACAGATGCAGATGCAAACAAGCTTGACTAAGTGATAGACTATTTTTCTTCTTCACTGGTTTGCTTTGATCTGTATTCTGTACATAATGAGTAATTTATGATTTGCAGAAATTTCGTTCTTTACCTTTTCTTTGTCCTGAACTTATTATTTTTTTTTTTTCAATTTCCACCGAGTCCAGTGTGGTTTTGTGAAGACAGAGAAGGATGATTGGCAAGCTGCAGTGGTGGAAGTTCCAGCTGTAGGTGAACCACGCAGCAACGCAGATATTCCCGTACGGAAATTTCCAAAGGGCAGATTTGTGTGGATTCTCTGAAAACCAAATTCCAGTTTCCCCTCAAATGTCTAGAGTGTTTGTTTCAGATATACAAGACGAGTAATTTTGGGATCCAAATTTAAAATGGGTGGGCGACACGCCTGTTCTTATTTAAGTTAACACGCGTGTTTAAGCTGACGCATGGACTGGAGGGGACTTCAAGCAGGAAGCAGTTGAGACTGCACTGATGGGCAGAGCGCAGTGAGGTTGAAGTACTCTTTGAAATACTCATGTTGTACAAAGTGCAGGGGCAAACTGCCAGGTGAATTACCTCAGTCTGTCTTCAAGATAAGAGAAACAAAACTACCTCTGAAAGTCCCGTTTGAAATATTTTGCTTAAAACCCAGAGGGAAAGAGACTGCTGCTTTTGAAACTCATTAAAGGTGTTTTTCTTTTGATTATTGTGTTTTGGTCACCTTAGAAAAATGTCAAAAGCAGGTTGTTGTTCTGATAAATACAGCAGAAGACAGACAGACATAGAAAGCAACAGGTTTCAGATGGGGTTATTGTTATAACCGCCTCTCAATTCACATTGAAATCAAGTCCTCCAATTGCATATAGCTTTGCTAAGTTTAAACACGCAGACCCATGGTAATTTCTTTTATCTTCTGGCCCGTATTTGTGCAGTTAAGCTTCCCAGTGCCTCTGGCTCTGTTTAGTTATGCTTCGGCCTGTGATTAAGTGCTACTTTCCTTACAATTCCCATGAGTAATTTCAGTTCTTTACTGAAGATAAGGAGATCCTTTTTACTGTGCTTTGCTGTCTTTTGTGTCTGTTTTACTTTATTGTCTACTTCCATCGCGTGTCCTCCCTAGCTAAACACAGGCAGATTAGAGAAGGAACCTGCCCGGTGCAGATGCTGATGGCAGTGGGAGGAGGCTGGGTTTGTGGCAGGGCACTGCATGGGAGCAGGAGCGGACTGGGAAAAGGGGGAACAGGCAGGGTTCATTGGGACCCCACTGTCCAGGAAGAGACTAAAATTGGCTAAGAAAACAAAGGAAGAGAGAGAATGGCTGCTGAAGGGCCCTGGGATTGATAATCATTTAAACAAGGGAACAGGGGCAGTGATGGGAAAGAGCAGTGGTGGAGGGGCCAGACTGCAGGGAGGAAAAAATCGGTAAGGAAGTTTAGTCAAGAAGTAGGAGAGGAAAGGAAAGGAACGTCCTGGGCCTGGGTGATGACCAGGACCACTTAGATAAGGTCTAGGAGTTGCTGAGGAGATGGTCATGGGCCAAAACAAAATTAAGGAAGAAAGTAAATTAGATTAGTGGCTAGCAAGAAAAGGTAGATTGAGGCACGGGTAGACAAGGAGACCAAAGCTGGAAGCTGGTAGAGAAAGGGGAGCAAAATTTTTAAGCCGTGAGCCTGAGATTTGCTGGGTAAAGGGCTTGGGGTTAAGAACAGAAGATTTTTACACAGCAAAGATGAGCAATACGAGCAGAAATGTGGCTGGGAGAGGGAATAAAGGGTAGAGCAGGGCCCATTACAAAGTCAGAACAACCTTTCAGCCAGAACTGGGAACAGAAATTAAAATTCTGATTCTCACTTTTGTGCTTGGCCACTGTCTTGACACGTACCCTTTTCTTCCCCTCTGGCACTAACCTATGTGGAGGGATTTAAAAGCATAGAGCAACAGTAAGTTTTATTAGTTCAGGTGTTCTATACAGTGCATGCAAAAGTTCAGCTGTTTGATGTAGCTTTTTTAATTCACTTTTTTAATTTAGGAAATTAAACATGCTAAATAATTGTGTCATGGTACATTATTAAGGTTGTCTGCAAGACTGACTTGGCGCTTTTGCATATTAATTATGATACAGCTGTTAACTGCATGTTCTGGTACATGTCTTTATCTTTGTACTTCTGTTTGTTTTTACATCTTTGCATTTGATATTGCACAGAAGAACAGGATGACTTTTAGGAATTGAAACGTTTATGCATTCACTGTTAAGCTATCTTTAGGTACGTAGGGTATCCATTCTTTATTAGCTTGTGATAGTATCAAACTGGTAATTATCTGTTTTAATACAGCTATTTCACCCAATAATCATTTTTGCTAGTGCAAGACTTGTATCAGATTTTCTTAGTGGAAACAATTAGTCTGATATTCCAGAAATGACAGAATACTGTGTGATAATTGAGTAATCACTTACAGTGTGATGTTGTTAATACACTTCTTGTGGGGTTTTTCTTTTGGTTGGTTTGGTTACTTTAGTTTAAAGGAACTATCTTTTTAAGCACACTGGCGTTAACACGCAGACTACAGCAGAAGTGGAAGACATGGTGCAGTCACCGCAGGGGAGAAATTAGTTCTTTATTTGTAGTTGGTGCTCACTGGTAATCAGCTGTAATGCCAATTAGATGTGCAGAAAGCCTGTCATATCCTAAAGGAATTGAGTTCAGACCGCGTTATGAAGAGTGCAGTAGCTGACCCGCTGTACTGTCAGCGTGGAACGACAACTGGTGGCTGACGAGTGATTCTGAACATTGCCTTACAGAAATCAGGAATGGGAATCTAAAGGCCATCTTGGGCCTTTTCTTCAGTTTATCTCGATACAAGCAACAGCAACAGCAGCCACAGAAACAGCAACCACACCACCATCCATCCCAGCAACCTCCCCCAGTGTCCCAGCAAGCAGGGCCTCCATCCCAGTGCCAGGTCGGGGTACCGCAGCAGCAGGTGCCAGCTTTGCTCCAGACTCCGTGCCAACAGCCCCCGCAAGCTGCGCAGCATCAGTTCAAAGCACAACCAGAAATGCAGTCAAGGTGGGGAAATTTCCTTTAAGTTGGTTTTTTTCATTGTTTATTTCTTTTTTTCTTCTTGCTAAAGGTCTTCAGAAGCCAAAGAAACTTCTTTCTTTAGTTCTACTCTAGAATAAAGAGTGTGTTGGAAATTGAGTGCTGGGTAGCAATTGACTTCACGCCTTTGGAAATCAAAACAGATGTGCTTAAATATGTTCTCAGTGCTGGAAATATGCAGTTCAATGAGTGTAAAATACCTGCTAGACCAAGTAACCACGGTATTTTATAAGGACATTTTTCCCAGTATTCCTTTTGCTTCTTTCTACTTGCAAACCACGTATATCATTGCCACTACAGAATATATGCCTTGGGCACGTGAAAACCGACTTCGGTTCTCAGTTTACAAGAATTTCAGTCCTAAGAAGTGGAAGGCTCTGACAGTGGTAAAAGAAATAGAGCTCATCACGGCTGGTGACAGTCAAAATCAAATCTAGGCTTATTGGTCAAAAATAATATGCTGCTGGCTTACATGAAAAATAATTTTCACAACTGGTGTTTGTTGGTGCTCCTAGATCAGAATACAAATAAGTAGAGAGAATCTTGGTCCCTTGAATGTCTTTAATCCTAGGGGTGCTCTTTCCAGGTTAGAATAAAAGCAATTTATGAAGGCAGTACTACTGGGGATGCATGTATGGCCTTCTGCTTGTCTGACCCTTCCACTGCTAAGAGAGTGGGGGTTTTACTGGGCAAATACAAATAAGTAGAGAGAATCTTGGTCCCTTGAATGTCTTTAATCCTAGGGGTGCTCTTTCCAGGTTAGAATAAAAGCAATTTATGAAGGCAGTGCTACCGGGAATGCATGTACGGCCTTCTCCTTGTCTGACCCTTCCACTGCTAAGAGAGTGGGGGTTTTACTGATTATAAGTGGGCAGGATTAAAGGCTGAAGCAACAATTGCACAATTACTCAAGTATGAAGGCTTTTTTTTTTTTTTTTAAATATCTCAAATTAAGTTAAGGCTTATTTGTGTTAAAATAACACATATTAAGGTGAACACTAGCTTAAGTGCTGCTTTATGAGGAATATAAACAGTTTAAATGAGGCCTTCCAAGTGAGACTACATAAGTGGGCAGGATTAAAGGCTGAAGCAACAATTGCACAATTACTCAAGTATGAAGGCTTTTTTTTTTTTTTTTAAATATCTCAAATTAAGTTAAGGCTTATTTGTGTTAAAATAACACATATTAAGGTGAACACTAGCTTAAGTGCTGCTTTATGAGGAATATAAACAGTTTAAATGAGGCCTTCCAAGTGAGACTACTGAGAGCTTATTTGGTTTTTGCTTATGTCTTTCTTCATGAATCATGCTCGTTTTGGGTGTAAACAATATTTTTGTATAATTGAAAAACACAGTGTTGCTACAGCATATATAAACTTGTACAGGAAATAATTACTGTAAAACAAAGATGTATTTGAACATATTTCTGCAACTTTTCTGTCAAAAACATGCAGAGATGCATGGTACCATTTGAATATTGCTGTGATATTTTCAGTCCATTGTGCGCATTGTGCTGGGTTTCAAATAATTTAAAAATATGTAACCCGAAGGTCTTAAATGTCATGTTTTCTTAGTATATACCAAAGTGAAATTGCTCAGAATCTGCAGAAAAATACATATAATAAAAGACCGAGAAAGAAAACAGTAATAAAGTTGGGGTTTGCATGCAGAATTGCATGTTCATTACTCTATAAAAATTAATTCATTTCAGATTTTGGGAGTTTTGACATACAAGTTATACTTAGGCAAGAAGCTTTTTTTTCCTGTGAAATTCATAAAAACTCTTTCCTCCCTAAAGCTAGTTACTAAGTTCACTGGCTTAAAAAAAAAAGTTTCTTTGTTCAATGTTATCTTCCTCTTTTTCTTTCCTGTCATACAGTGCATCTCCCAGGGACCCATCCCAAAGCAAAATCATCCGATTCACTCTTGGTCAGAAAAAGTCTTCTAGGTTAGCATTTCTTCATCTTCTGCAAAGCATGAATAATCCTTTTGCAATATTTTTGGATGCATGTTTAAGGTTCCCGTTGAAAATATTTACCTCCTTGTTTGTAACTAGGCTTTTTACAAACAGCTGAAACGTGGAAGTGTTAGACGGATTTTAATTTTTTTCTTTTTTTCAACGTGTCGAATGCATTTTGGCCCGCAAGAAAATAATTTGGTTTTCTTGTCCTTATGAGCTTCTGCTTTTGAGAACAAAACATGGTTCTGGAGTTCTCTCCCCACTGTACACATCTGTATTAGTTGTATTTAGATCTGCATCACTGAAGCTAGCGTCAGGCAAGTGTCTTAGCTAGTAAGGAGAGCATCACATGCACCATGTGAGCCCAAACAGCACTGTGTGGGTCTGTCTCATCAGAGCTCCGGCACTCCCCAGCGCTCTGAAGCTGAGCACGTCTAATCTCCCTGAAAATGATTCATAGGTATTTCCATCAATTTTTTTCCTGAACCCCAGCATGACTTGCATGCCAGCTTGTGTGCCCATCTCATCTTGGTGATCATAAGGGTTGCTGTGTTATTAAAGTGGTTATTAATCATGTTTACTTTTACTACTATAATATATTGAAATGTTTTACTAGGAATTTTTATATAGTTATACATTGGTAAACTATACTATACCATTTTTGCTAAGCTTGTGAACTGTTACTAATGATTTTTATTCAGCTTGGCAAGTTTGTATAGATTGTTAGTTCTGCTATATACTTTGGATTTATTTCCCCCATCTTATTTCTTCTATGACAACAGTGAAGGTCTGCAGTATAACACCTGTTAAAATGTCCCATGTTTCCTTTTCAATTTCTCTCTTGATCTTAATTACGGCTTGACAATTTGTATTTGCCTAGAAGAGGTGCTGAAGTGCAGTAATGGAGAGTATTCTCCGAGCTCAGTACCTTGTCTCCAATAGCAAGAAGCTAGAAACGTCTCCCTGAACCTATTTTTTTTTCCCCTAGATTTCACAGGCACTGCTGTGAAATATCTTGGCCTAATACCAAAAGCAGGGGCTTAAAATCAGTCAGTTAAGCTACCGGGGGGGAAAAAAGTCTAAGAGAAATGATATCTTCTTCAAGAGTGTTTTTAGCACGTATGTTTTTTATTCTCGGTATGTTTTTATTGGCAGTGACAATACTGTCTTGAATCGAAAACTTGTCATTTCTTGAGTGGTCACATGGTTTGAGTAGCTTTATTTACTTTAAAAAGTGACAGATTTGCAAAACCTGTGTGGGCGTGTGTGGGGAGCCTTTTCTTACCCATTGGTAGAAGAACATTATCCCTTCCCTCCTGCCAAGCCCTGCTAGAAAACTCCCCTCCCAGTACTGGGGGCTCTAGCAGCCTTCCTGCAGTGGTTGGCCCGTACTCACAATGTTTTATCACTGGGTAGAAACTTTCAGCTGAGGTATCTTGTGCGTCCTTCCTACCTGTAGGAAACCTAGCTCGTTTCCTATTAATGAAAACAAACTCTTAATGAACTTCCTTGTCATGGTGACTTCCAACTTCTGAAGAACAGCATTTGTCCCTGGTTTGCCTCTGCTTCTTCCCGTGTAGTCTCCTCTACAGTGGATGAAGCATCTCTGGGGTGTTCTCATTTACACCTTGCTGCAGCGATGAGTATGTACAACTTTCTAGCACCCCCCAGTGTTGAAAAAGGCTGGATAAATTGAGGGGCTCGTCTAAAAGGCTTCAGCAAAGTCAACCTCAGAACCATGATGTGCTGTGCCGGATCTGTGGTGGTTTGAGTTTGTAAATTAATTTTTGGTTTGTATTTGAATGGTGCCCTTATGTCTTACCCTCTTTTGAGCTTTGAAAGCATGTGCATGCAGCTGCTGACATTTTTGCTCTTTTCCTTTATGTTTCTTTTCATATTTCCTATTTCTTCACTGGTCTTGGAGAAGTCAGTTTATTTAGGAAGCACTGCCAGACTCCTTCCCTGGCTTCTCTTCCTTCCCATAGGCACAACGGCGATTTGGTCGGTTGCATGCCCATTCTCTCTGACAACTGGGCCTTCTTCATTTTAGCCTATTATTGGCACAAGTTATTTAAGACAATTACTTTTTTGTGTTTTATGTAAAGAAGTTTTAAAGAGATTCTACTGTACAGAAAGTACAGAGACGGCAAAGAGTGTTCCCTTTCATTGCTACTGTAGGTGACATGAACTGGTTCTATCTCTTAGACTTTAATGTGGTATCCTTGCCTTTCAAAAGAGTGAGCTGTTTCACTAACTCTCTCCAGAATGCAGTTTGAGCAACTACCAGATCTTTCAATTTTTAGTATTTAATCTATTTGGAGTGTAGATATATGTGCTCCTTAGTGCACAAAATACAGTGCAAACATGGAAACTTTATGTATGAACTTTGACTTTGAAGGACTCAAGCACACATATTGTTCCGAGATGTGATGCCAGTGGTTTTCCTAATTCCGCTGGGCTTTGTAGAAAAGTCTTCCCCCTCCCCTTTTGCCTGAAAAGCATGAAAGTAGTATCCCTCCCTGTCTTTCTTACTCCAGAATCCTAACTACGTTTTTTTTCTAGGTAAACAGCTAAATCTTGTAAATACAGGCTACGGTAAGGAAATGCTGGATGAGATTGACCCAGTTTAAACCAGGGGCTTATACCAGCTCACAGATAACGTGGTTGCCCTAAGAGGGGGAACTTAAGCTTTGTGTGATTTTTATAGGCTCAAATAATTAAACCAAGTTAAAGTTTTGCTGGGCTTGGCTGCTAGGCTTTGTAGCTTTCAGAGCAGAGATGTGATGTGCTTCTCTACAAGGGAAAAGGCAGCCACGTTCTGTCTCATTGTTATTTCCAAAATAAGGGTAGCCCTTATGTGTCCAGCATATAATACAAATGTCCAGCAATCTGGTTTAAGAACAGCAGTGTCTCACTTAGTCTTAACCTTGTACCAGTGGTATTGCTCCACTGAATTTACTTGCAACTAATTCTGAGTCACAAGATTTATGGCAAGTGACCATTAATTTCGGTTCAGGGTATTTTTTTCTGATGTAAACCAATTCAGACTGTAGCTTGTTTGCCATATGTTTTTCATCTAGGATGATTTTTTGATTTGTTCTTATAAAAGAACAAAGACTATTATGAGTATATACTTGTGGTATTGATCCTTTTCTTTTCAGCTTATGCATGGTATTCCATAGTTCCTTTCCCAGAGCACTTTTTAAATATATTTAATCATATTGTAATTCTTTCATCAGACTTCCAGGCCCCACCACGAGGGTGTCCGCTGCAGGCAGTGAGGCCAAAGCTCGTGGTTCTATTAGTGCCAACAATCGACGCAGCCAGAGCTTTAACAATTACGACAAATCTAAGCCTGGGCTTCCCCCTCCAACACCAACAAGTAACAATGACAAAGGTAAGCACCTGAGATTTTGGCATCCTCAGATTTTTCTTAACAGTGCCTTCGTTCGGGGGAAATTGAATTTTCCATTAAGCTCCAGAAGTTGTAAGACTATGTCAAAGCTGTATGTTGTAAACATGACATTTACAGTCCAAAACCCAGCTGGCTTTTCTTGAAAAAGGTATAGTCCTACTTTACTGTAACTGAAGATGTGACTTACTGTCCTGAAGGTACATGCGAAAAATAGCTTCGAGTAAAACTGGCACTGGTAAAACACGTTTTTCCATTTTGCTTCAAGCACAGATAAGGGGGAGTGAATTAATCAAAAAATAAGACATTTTGATGAGTAGTTTGGCGGGAATGCAAAATGACCACTAAAGAATTCTTCAGTGTTTTTATATGATAAATAGTACCATTTGCTTGCCTTTCCTCCACTGTTGTGGAAGATCCTTTAAGTTACCAAAGTACATGATTTAAATCTGATTTTAAGAATCCTATAGCGTAGGGTTTGAAGGCAGGAACATGTTACAGTTTTATAAATGTTGCAGTGGAACCGTGTCTATGGCAGTGCATCAGAAATGCTAAGCACCCTGTTCTGTCTGAAGAGCTGCTTTTTTGAATGACATTGACTGACTTTGTGTCCATTCACTAAGCTAGTCATCCGACAGCATTCAGTAGCTTGAGTTTGCAGCTCTGAGCTCTATAATGCAGCATTTACCAGCGGAGTTTTGGGGGATGTGACTGGTGAGAACTGAGCAAATCACTCTAGTCTGATACGGTCAAATTGTTGGCGTAGGCTGGCAGCTAATTCTGAATCCTTAACAAAGTCATTGCGCTTACAAAGATAGATCAGCATTGGATTTCAGTACAATCTTCTTGCAGTGACTTGGCAGTCGCGCCCTTTAGGCTCAAGTCTCCTTGTTGTATGTGCATGACTTCTATTAACAGTAATGAGGATTTTGCTTGAGGGAAAAATACTGGTCTGGTTCAGCTTGCCTGTGGTTCTCATGCTTGTTTCTTTTCAGGAAATTGTGTTTTTCCTTCTCTAGAAACTTGTCCTATGACTGCATGTCATTAGATTTTGGAATATTACCCCATCTAGCCATTACAGCCCAAAACCTCATCTTGTAATGATGGCAACGGAGGGTCCTCAGCATCCTCCACGGACATTCTGAATCACCCTGATCAGACCTTGTATAAGAAGAAAATTACATTCACAGCTGGATAATATAATTATTATAATTATATTATATTATAATATATAAGCATAATATGCTAATAAATTAGCAACATACTACCTTGGTAAATCCATGCTTACTATTTTAGAACATACACTATGTAAACAGTAATGATTTAACTGTAACATCAGCATGTAATAGTCTTCTCTAAATCTGAATTAGATCTGGCTTTCAGTTAAAAGAACAAGCTGACAAGTTAGGGCATGAGCAGTAGACGCGATGAAACCTAGTTTTCCTGTGTAATATCTCCCCGGTCTCCCTCTGTCTCCTCCTTGTCGATACTCTCCTCTTTTGCTCGTGTCCCCTAACTGCTGGACTGGGGAGACGCAGTGTGGGATGTGTCTCGTCTTGACGTGTGTGTGTGTTGGCTAGATGGTCCTTACCTGCGTATGGAAGGTACGCTGTTAGGCTGCATTGAAGAGAGAACTCGAACTATATTGGCTTTTTCTCAGTTTACCAAGATTACTAAATAAGAAAAAAAAAAAAAAAGAGAAAAAGAAGAAAGGAAAAAGAAAAGTCTTCACACATACAGAGATATAACAATAATTTGTCAATTGAGTAACTTAAGTATCAACTGCTTTTAGGCAGACAGTTCTATGAACCCTCATTCCTCATTGTAACCCCTCGCTTCAGAAAGATAAACTAGTTGCTGAAGAAGCATACAAGATCATCTGCTTCCTATGAATGTTACAAATGACTGAAAGAAAAAGGGTTGGTTTTTAGGTTGACAGCCTACATAAGTTGCATTAAATACTCAGAATTTTGCTCTGGTCAAAATTTCCAGTCATAAATTATGGTCTTCAAAAAAAAATAATGAGGGCTTATGTAAGTTGAACTTGAACTTTACTTAAAAATACAATCATGACACAAAGTTGGTCTGCATCCATGAGAAACAAAAGCAGTTGGTCTGACAAATTTTTGGCTTATTTTAAGTTAATTGTAACATTGCCAGACAAAGTTTATTGTCAAAGTGCTAAGACAATTCAAGTTTTCTGAACCATATCCTCTATTTTGCCAAAGGAAATGAGACTTCCATGACCACGTTGTGTTCCAGTCTTGGTAAGTTTTCATCTCTTTACCCAGCACTAGCTCCATTGCGTGTTTTTGGAGAAGGAAATGGGAGAAAGAGAAATCTGCCTGTTTTGGCAGACTGTTTTGGCACGAGTGGTCACTTTGTGACAGAAGGTAGCCCTCAGTGTACATTTGAATAATTTCTTACAAAGTAGGTTGTAATTTTCAGCTTTTGTTAATCTGTGGCCTTTCCCTCCAAACGTGAATTGTCTTGTTAGTCAATCGTCTGTGTCTTGTGGCAATGAAAGTGCATTAATTGAAACAGAATACATCAGAAATGAAAAGGATAGTAAATGGAGCATGGACGACTAGCTAGCTACTGGAAAATAAATAACCTAGATTTTTTGAAAGATTCCATTAGTCAATTAATGATGAGACCCCTGGTTTTCTAGAAATCTTGGGGAAAGGATTTATATAACATCGGAAACAATTACACTGTTGCATAAAAATATGAGATTCTTGGATTCATGGACGTTTGTTGTGAGATGCATACGTACTCAGCAAAGGAGTACACATAAAGAGATGCAAGTCTCACTTCCCCACAACTTACGTTGTGTCTTCAGTATTTTGTTTTGCTTTCTCAATCTTGGCGTGCTGTCTGACACCAGTTTCAAGATGTGGAGAAGGGATACGTTTTCCCTAGTAAGGATGCCTTAGACACCTAGTTCAGTCCTATGGACACCTTCTTTGAGGTTAGAGCATGGTAGGTTTAACTTGCTTTTTGGAGTTAGCCCCACAGTTTATATGTGAAATTCCCTTCAAACTTACAGGAATTTCAGTGCCCTCATTTTTCGTGTCATAAAATGGTAACACGGTATGGTACATTTTTTAATTTATTGTCACAGTGATTAGCCATTTATAATTGCAGTAGCATTCTAGGCAGGGTATTTTAATGTGTGTAATTGCTGTTGCAGGCTTTTTTTCTTAAGAAAAATGCAATTAAAGTCTTTGGATTTGTGGGGAAATAATGAGCCGCGCAGGCTTGTGATTTTTGATGTCATCATAATTCCTTCATACAATTGGAGCCTTTTAATTCACTTCTGAATTGTCAGAGTTATTTAGCCCATGCATATGTAAGTATACCTTTGGTTTACTTTCTTGTCCTTTAATATCCTTTAACACCACAAGCGTACTATAGCATGAAAAGCATCAGCCATCTCCCAAGGTCACTACTGAACTCATCTAAATTATCAAAAACATTTCTAAGGAACGTAAAGAGGCAAATGAGCTTTGCATTTCTATGCCTGTATATAAATTATTAATTACTAGTTATCTTGAGGCTCCAAGTTACCATATCCTTCTAATTGTCTAATATGATCACCAAATAAAAAATAGCCAAAATTTTATTTGCATGTGTAATTTAGAATAAAGAAATCTATTTTTTTGTCCACGGCAAGAAGGAGCAGAACTGTGTCCTAGGTAGTATCAAGAATGAAACTTAAATATTAAAGCATACGACTTCAGTAAAGACTTTGATACAGTAAATTTTCTCATGAATTTTTTTCAGTGTTTTGCTTAGCTACACGCTGAGAGTCTTTTGAGACATGCTTTGAAAGCAGCCTGCAGTTCTGAAAAATGGTGGGTAGTTTTGACTACTTCCATACACCCTCTTACATCCCCTGTCTTCACTGACCTTCGGGCACTCAGTTTTCATTTCGCAGTCTCAAAAATCTGGTAACATTGTATGGGAATATTCTGTTTATTACTTCCTGACTTGCATCCACAGTCTATCAAATCCCTAACCTCATGAAGCTATAGGAAACGTCAACTTCATATGCTGTCTCCGGTATGTTTATGAAGTGATGCAGTAATGTGACAGGCTCACATGCTTTCTTTCTAGTTTTTTCTTCTACTTTGTTCCTAGTATTTTATTTAAAATAATCCTACAGAGGGCAGTAGAAGTCTGTGGGAAAAATGACACTTTTCCTTTGGATTGAACGTTAGGTAAAATGTCAGTAGCAAAAAGCACTACCAGATTTTGACCATTTCCACATGAGATCAAAGGAAATGTTTACTATTCAGATTTATGAAGAAGGCAGTGCTAATAATGCCAGTTTTTTCTTAAATAGGTAGTATTAGAAAAAAAATAGATGCGTACAGATTCATGCACTCGGATGAGATAAATAACTGTTTTAATAGCGGTGTTCTTGCAAACTTACTTGATACAAGTCTCATGAGTGGGTTCTGAAATGAGATCCTGCTGACTCAGCTATAATCCTAGCTCCGCATGTCTCGATTTCCAGGTATGGATATAGCATACAGGCAGGAGAGTAAGAAAAGTGTGTGCTCCTCTGGTTGATGCTCCTTTTCGTTTATTTCCTTCAAATTTTGGGTAATCCCTTTTAACTTGGAACGCAGTATATATTTAATCACTGTCTTTTAATATGTAAATGGTAGTCACTGTATTCACAAGGATGCATGGCGACAGGACAAGAGGCGATGGGCACAAGTTCCTTTAGGTGAATTTCTGTCTGGCAATAGGAATAAAATTCTTCGCTATGAGAAGAATTAAACATTGGAGAAGTTTGTCCAGAGAATTGGTGGAATCTCCCTTGCTGGAGGTGTTCAGGACTTGCCTTGACAGAGCCCTGGATAACCTCATCTAAGGCCCTGCTTTCAACTGAAGGTTGGAAGGAATGATCTCCAGAGGTTCTTCCTAGACTGTTCTATGATTTCTACAATTTCAATATAAGGTCAGTTTCTTAG